TATATTGAAATAAAAGTGTAAGGAGGAAAATGTAATTCTGGTTGACATTTGTGAGCATGACGCAAAGATCGCAATCACAGTCGAAATAATTGCATAAATCAAGGACTAGCATATCTTATCACGAGGAAATTTACAAGTAAATTTCCTGTTAAATTATACAATTCATTTTTTAACAGGAATACAATTTATAAAATTGTATTCATGGCATTTTTTTGTAGTGATTTATAAAAATCACTGTAATAATTTGGAATGTCATATGTTATATGTTGCACGGTATTCGTTGCACTTAAATTTGCCCTGTGTAATTATATTGAATATCGTGTGTCAACGTGTAATATAACAAAAATTAATGTATTTCCTTAAAATATTTGTATCATTATTTGTATCTTTTAGAATGTCATTGGTAATAAGAAAATAGATATAATTTCTCAATTTCACAGCATGATCGCATTACAACTTTTTGTTCTAGTCCGTGATAGATTTGCTAGTCTATAGATTTATGCAATTACTTCAACTGTGATTGCGATCTTCCATGACACTGGGAAATTCATATTACTTTGTCTTATTACTGAAAAGTAATATTTGCGGTAACGTAGCATAATGTGCAAAATTCATACTCAACGTACACATTGTAGATGCAACATCATGTTACCATGCCGTCATATTACTGAACATAATGACATTACCAAAATACTAATAATAACAAAATATTCAAGGAAATATTTATGTATTTTAATTTGCATATATAATATTAATTTTATACGTTTTACGTTACTTTTTTCTTTCATTTTAACTTTCTCGACTTCGTATATCTTTCCCTTTAGTACTTTATATATTTACTTTTTATTACTTTTACTTTTTATTACTTAGTTATACTTTTATACTTTTTATTTGTTTGACAAGTTTTTAAATTTTCTATTAGCTGTATTTATTGCTTTTGCAGCACCATTATTATACCGTGTACGGGAATATATTTTAACTGTTATTAAGAATTTTAATGCTTGCATGCGATGATTGTAACTCTTTTCATTAGTGTTAAACCATCCAGCATGCATTTTATTGGTTGCATACATACCCTCGTTTACAATTTTCAGAAGAACTTGTGTAGATGACCAGTGACGTTGCCATGTACTATTAAAAGCCATTAATTGCGTTTTGATAATCTTAAAAAGGCTTGTTGGTCGAACTAATTTCGTGACTGTTGGAGAATCTTCGTCTGGGTTCGGATATTCACGATATTCAATATATTTTTCATTAGCCGTCGCATCATCCATTGGTGTTTTCGACATTGTTGTACGACAGACATCACATGTATTTTTTTGAATACATCGTCGTGCCACATACCCTACAAAAAATGTAATAGCATTTTCATCACAATTACCAAGTGTATTTTCATTTTCGGTGTCCATATCACCCATTTCTTCCAGAATGTCTCAGATAAATAATTCTGGATAATCAGCATCAGCATCATCGTCATCAAGAAAAGGAACGTCTGCATTCATATTATTTTCAACCCTTTTAATTGTCTGATTCGGTTGATTAATAAGGGTCTCAGTCTCCAGACATTGCACGTTGCCTTTGTCACTCGTCTGAATATAACCCGTGGAAAGAATATGTCTGAATGACAGTCGGACCATTCTTGCGGTTGGATTAGGATTGGATTCTCCGCATTGCCGAAGTTTTGAAAAAAAATGTTCCACCGAATCTTGGTTATATAAACCTGTTGCAAGTTCAAATCCTTCATATTTACTTGCAAATTCCTGATACAGATTAAGAATAGCTTGTACTGTAATTACGAAACCTTTGAAGCAAGGAACTTTAGTTATTTTATTGGGATTTTTGGACCATTCTGAAGACCACTGCACAAAGTCAGTCAATAACATTATAATATCAGGATTTTTCTGTGACAATGGCCGTTTCCCACCAAATGTAACATTATGGCTGTAAGAGTTGCAAGCATCCATTATACTATTCATCTTCTCTGCAAATTTAGCTGACGCTTTCCACGTATTTGAATTCAATTCTTTTCCATCGCCGGCTGTTTTTATTGCAGCTGCAAATCTA